TTTAATCCAGGAAGAATGTGATTTGTTGTTCTTTAAGTTGTACAGAAGAAAGGCCTTTCTTCAAATTGTGTTGAGCATTTAATTGTGCATTAAACTTGCTCAAAGGGAGATTTTAAAAGCTAAGATTCTGCTATCACAGCATCCTCTCTAGTCGTGCCATGTGATCCAGGTACCTAGATGCTTGGCTCATGATGTCTCAGGGAGTCACAGTCACAGGAATGCCATTTACAACCTTTCTTGCTAGCTTCTCACAAATGAAGTCATTGGGAAAGCTTGTAGGGAAGGTCACAAGTTGCTCTGGTAAGTCATTCCTGCCTGCAGCATCTATGCAGCCTCTACTGGCCCTTCCAGGCCTCCCTCAGTTTACATGCAACCTACAGCAAGCCTCCCAAGCCTCCCTTGGCTCACATGCAGCTTGCACACAATATCTGGGATCTCCCAGGATCGTGCACACTGTATAGGAAATTGCAACAGTCATAAATATGAACTGGTTGCCAAGCATCTGAATTTTGATCACATGATCATGGGATACTGCAAAGGTCGTAACTATGAAAAACAATCATAAGTCACATTTTTAGTGCTGTTGTAACTTTGATCACTAAATGAACTGTTGGAAGTCGAGAACTACCTGTATTCAAAGATCACCAGTATATGCACAGAATGTTCTTCTCTGAATTATTGCCATTAGAGTAACACTCTAATATGAAATTATTTTCATTTTCCTCGTACACTTACCCATAGTGAAAACCTTTTATTAGAATCATACTTGACACCACAGGTATGACTTTAAAAAAAAATGGTGTCTGTCATTCCAATAAGACTAGAGGTGGATTTATTTTTAACAATGGTGATAGAATATGCCCTTTCCTTTGGGGGCATATAAGGCAGGCTTCAAGGCATAGAAATTCTTGTCTTACAATATCTCATATCATTTCCCCCACTTGAAGCATTGGCATCATTCTGTCAGTAATAAGTGTGGTGGTCTCTCATGAAAAGAAGACACTACGCAAAGTTGTCTTGGGATGAGAGCGCAGAGCGAACTCCGAAACCCTCTTTTATTAGAAGCAATCTTTGTTAACGTAGTAATTTTGTTAACGTCCTATCACAAACGCATTACATCACACAACATGCACTGATCATTCGCATAAAGCATACAAGGCTGCAAAGTTTAAGTTTGCTACAGTTCTGGTTAGAAATGGCAACAATTTGTCCTTGCTCCTTGCTCCGTGTTCCAGCCAACCACCAGAAGGCTCCGTTGTCCTAGCACGTACACAAAGAACAAAGAATCATAGTTCCCACAATAAGGAGGACCTTAATTGTGCATTTTAACAGTACTGTTTGTAAAGAGTGAACCAATGAGAATAACGTTTCTCTCATAATATATTGTCATGATGGTCTTTGTTTTCCACATGCCTACTTAATACTGTACAGAAAATGTGTGAGTACAAGATGAATGCAGTAATAGCTATAGCAATAGCATTTAGTGTCAGCTTTGGAAGCCATATTAGTACCAGACGCTTCCACACTGCCACATTCTTGAGCCTGGGAAAATGGGAGGGTGGGATTTCTTGGAGTGTATATGGTTAGATATAATAGCATTCTTCTTCTAAGTCAAGGTCATGTTATTTCTGCACCTGGCTGAGGAGTGGTTGAGGGGACGTCTCAAATTGGGATGGATGGTGATTGGGGTGTGATGCATTGAGGGGTGCAGGGAGTGGATTTGTAATTTTTTACTTACTGAAGGGAAACCCAGAACTTTCAGATTTGGGATTTCCCAGATGTGCCAGTTTACTACTCTAATAAAAGGAACCTTTGAGAACATGTCTGTCTCAGAGTTATTGATTGGAGTGGAGTTTTTCTGGAATGCTGACATTATCCCAAATCTCTAAATAACTACTACCACCCTTTGTTATTTCTTCTAAGCACTTTCAAATCTTATTCCAATATTTTTTTTGCTTCCGAGCAGGTCCACCACATGAAAGTATGTACCCTGTTTATTCTTGCATTTCCAGCATTCTGGGTTTTGATTTACAAACATTTTTGCCAATCTGGTGGGTGGGGGGGGTGCCATCTATAAAAACAGTTTGTACATGTTCTTGTGATACACTGTAGATAATGTTAGTCTATAGTTTTCCCCCCACATTCTGTCCAAGTTCTATATTATATCCCACATTTTTCACCCAGGCTACTATCGTTTCTTTAACTACCTCTTATTTTATTTATTTATTTATTTGTTTGTTTGTTTGTTTATTTATTTGATTTTTCAATTGCTTACAAGATACAGGTATAAGAATGAACATAGTTTTGAATACATGAGATAGATACTTATAAGAAAAATAAAAAGAAACAATAGGACAGGGACAGTAGACACAATTGGTGCGCTTATGCATGCCCTCTCTTACGAAGGGGGTGAGGTCAATAGTAGATAGTCTAAGGTTAAATTTTGGGGGGTTTGGGGAAGAAACCACAGAGTCAGGTAGAGTATTCCAAGCATTGACCATTCTGTTGCTGAAGTCGTATTTTCTGCAGTCAAGTTTGATGTCTTTAACCTTGAGTTTGTATATATTATGTGCTCTTGTATTGTTATGATTGAAGCTGAAGTATTCATTTGCAGGTAGGACATTGCAATGTATGATTTTATATACTATATTTAGATCGGACTGGAGGCGACGTAGTTCCAGGTTTTCTAGGTCTAGAGTTTCAAGTCTGGTGGCATAAGATATTCTGCAATGAGTAGAAGAGTGGAGAACTCTTCTTGTGATATATTTCTGGACTTTCTCAACTGTGTTTATATCAGATACATGATATGGGTTCCAGACTGATGAGCTGTATTTGAGTATTGGTCTAGCAAATGTTTTGTATGCTCTAGTTATTAGTGTAATATTACCAGAGAAAATGCTACATAGGATTAGATTAACAACTCTTAATGCCTTTTTGGCTATGTAGTTACAGTGGGCTCTAGCACTTAGATCATTAGAGATGAGTACTCCAAGATCCTTGACAGAGTTTGGATCCTCAACAAGGTTTTGACTATTTAGCTTGTATTTTATTTTCTGATTTTTTTTTTGCCAATATATAGGACAGAGCATTTATTTGTTGAGATTTGAAGTTGCCATTTGTTTGACCATTTTGATACATAATCGAGGTCTTTTTGAAGGATAGCCGTATTGTCTGTGGTGTTGAATAGCTCTACATCATCAGCAAAGAGAACACAGTTGCTCTTAATATGATCACAGAGGTAATTTATGTAGAGTATGAAGAGAGTTGGTCCTAAAACACTGCCTTGGGGCCCCCCAAAGTTGACAGGTACAGAATTTGATAGGACGCTCCCAATTTTGACCATTTGTTGTCTGACAGGAATGCTTCTATCCAGTTATGCAATTGTGCAGAGGTACCATAAGATTTTAGTGTTAGGAGTAGTTTGTTGTGTACCACTGAATCAAAGGCTTTACAGAAGTCTATGTAGATTGCATCTATTGCTTTGCCCTGATCGAGTTGTATAGTCCATATGTTTTTGCAGTGTAAGAGTTGCAGATTACAGGATAGGTTTTTTTTTTAACCAAATTGTTTATTAGAGAGTAGGTTATTTGTCTCTAAGTGGAGGATAATGGATTAGTTAATAATTGTTTCCATGACTTTACAGGTGATGCAGCATAAAGAGATTGGTCTGTAATTTTCAACTAGGCTGGAACTCCTTTTTGAAGATGGGGATGACAATGGCTTTGTGATCATAGTTTTGGCAAGGAGCTGGTCCTGAAAGATTTTTCAAAGATTATGCTTAGAGGTTTGGCTATGGCAGTGGATAGCTTTTTAAAGAAGTAGGCACATATTCCGTCAGGTCCAATAGACAGAGATGGTTTTAGATTGCGTAGTGCTTTTTCAACATTGTCTTCTGTAAAATCGATATGTATTAGATAATGGTAGTTTTCTGTGGTTCAACTAGGAAGTACTGGGCTTGATCCATTGCTGTGTACAAATACTGACCCAAAAAATGTGTTAAAGAGGTTTGCTTTGATGGTGTTGTCGTTGCAGTCTTTGCCATTAGGTTTTTTTAGGAGTGGGATGGACCTTGAGTCTTTTAGTTTGTTGTTTACAAAATTGTAGAAAGCATGGGTGGAATTTGTGTGTAGAAGGTTTTCCTCTTGTTTAATGTGATAATTATTGCATTCAGTTTTTATCTGGTGGCATGAATTTTTGTATCGGCTTTTGAAGTTGGCAACGTGACCAGATTTGTTTTTTCACCAAAATGATTTCTTTTTCGATTGATGCTTCCTTATTGTTATGGGTAATCTGTTTTTTCTGGTTTTGGGAGTTGTTATTGGTACATATAGTTTGATGGGTCTTTTGATTTCTAGTAAGAATATGTTGTAATGGTCTTCAACAGTATTGCATGCAGTGAATAGAAATTGCCAATCAAGGGAAGAGAGATCATTGATTATTGCCTTTTTTGAAGTTATAATTGGGGATTTTGTCATTGTGATGATTTTTGTGTGGACATATGTTGAGACAAAATTCAATCATGTTGTGGTCACTGTTGGAAAAGGGTTCTTTAATTTGTATTCCGTAAATTGAATTCAAACTATTGCAGAAGATGAGATCGAGGCAGTTGTTAAGCCTAGTATTGTTGGTTACTAGTTGTTCCAGTCCCAGAATTGTTACAGCATTGTAGAAGGTTGCATGTATGTGTTAGGAATGTAAGCCAGCTAACAGCTATTTGGGTTGGAAATATATAAACCAGGATAGACATTTTAATACTGTCCCTTTAAGAAAATGCAAAACTGTAATTGGGTGTGGTTTCTCAAATGGCCATAAGATGGAGCCAGAAACCTGGGTTGTCTTAGTCTCAAAAGAGAGTGTGAGTGACTCTCTGTTTTCCTTCTGTTGGAGAGTTTTGCCGTTTTTCATAATTGATTGATATTCTTGGATTTGATGTAAGTCTGATACTGAACTGTTTTTGACACTGGACTTTGTTATTGGATTATCCCTGAATTAAAGAATGACTGCCTTATCTGTGAATGACTTTGGATTGTGTTTGAACTTTGCTTAAACATTTCTGAAAGTAAAAACCTACATTTACTGTACAGTGTATCTGTGTGCTGTGTGTGTATTATTCAAACACTTGTCTCAAATACGTCTCCCTGTATGCACTCATTCTCCTAACGGGGAATTACCTCAACACTGGTTATGGGCCCAGCCCATACTAGGCTCAGATAACTGAGAGTTCGTGTGAATACACAGTACTGTATACAGACATCTGTTTACTGTTTAATTGTGGGTTACTATCTTGGTAAAGATGCCACAAGACCTGTCAACAAGTCTATCCCTAATAACCCGGTTGGATGGAACAAACTATGTTTCCTGGTCTATGAAGTGCAGTCTACTTCTGCATAGAGAAGGTTTATAGAATGTAGTTCAAGACCTCCCGGATGTAAATGCTTGGGATCCAGCTAATGAGGATGATACCAAGAAGCTTGCTGACTTTAAACAGAACAATGAACGAGCTCTTTGTATAATTTGACTAACACTGAGTGACCAGCAGCTAGTCCATATTCGTGGAGAAGAGTCTGCTGCTAAGTGTTGGGAGAATTTGAAGAGGATTTATGTTTATGACAGTGTAGGTGCACACATACATCGTACATGTAAACTGTTTAGAGCACGTCTTCTGAAAGGTGGAGATATGTTAGCTCATTTAAACTTCATGAAAAGAACTTTTCAAAAGCTACATGAAAAGGAACTAATATTTTCAGAGCTGCATCAAGATTACCTCGTTCTTTCCTCATTGGATGAAAGTTATGATGATTATGTATCTTCACTGGAGGTCCTGCCCAGAGATAAACTGACATTGACTGACATACCTGGAAGATTGTTAGAAGAAGCAAGAAGACGGCTGGATAGGGACCAAATGAGGAAGGAACAGCCACAAGAAGAGGATTTGTCTTCAACTGCCTATACTGTTAGGAAATGTTTTTCTTGTGAGGCTGGAGGATATATAGGTAGATTCTGTAAGAAGGGAAAAAGACAGAATACTAGTAATCACCAGAAGGCCAAAAAGAATGTTAGTTTAGCTGTGTCTAGCAATTCAACTGTAAACCATGATTTGTGGGTTGTTGATAGTGGAGCATCGCAATGCATTACTAAAAATAGAAAAAGGTTTGTAAAGATGTCTATGAGTAAGCAACATGTATCATTTGCAAATGGATGGAAGATTAAAGCATCCGGTCAAGGTACTGCATATATTTCTTGTATAAACAAACATTTAACTATGTTATATGTACCTAAATTGAAATTTAATTTATTATCAGTAAGGGCTTTAGTTAATCTTGGTTATGTAGTAACCTTTAGGGAAGATAACTGCATAGTAGAGAAAGAGGGCAAAAGTGTTACTGCTACATTAGAAAATGATTTATATGTAATATATGATGATCAGTTGAAGATGGCTAACTCAGTTTATAACAATGTTAAGCCACATGATGAATGTATGCATTTACTACATAGACATTTGGGGCACATTAATTTCAAAATGCTCAAACAAACTGTTGAATTGTCAGAGGGAGTAAAATTGAAACCCTGTAGCAAGTATTTAAACTGTACTGCTTGTAGCCAAGAGAAGAGCAAGGTTACTCCAGCAAACAGACTAAATGGACCAAAGAACCTTTAGAGGTTGTGTTTGCTGACATAATTGGTCCTAAGAAACCAAGTTTAGGAGGTGCCTGCTATATTTTGAGTATTATGGACCATTACTTATGATATGGTTTCTGCTATCTTACGAAAAACAAAACAGAAACATTCCAACATTTCTTTAACTGGCTAAGGTTTGCAGAGAGAAAAAGGAAAAGTAAAGTAATTATATTAGTTACTGATAATGGGACTGAGTTTGTTAACAAGAGATTCCAAACTATGTTGAAATTGGCTGGTGTCGAGCATAAATGTTCTGCACCTTACAGACCACAACATAACTCGTTTGTAGAATGAAGAGGGCAAACATTACAAGCCATGGCTTGCACTATGTTATCTGACTCAGGTTTGCCTGAAACACTGTGGGGTGAGGCCATAATGTGTAGTAACCATGTTTTAAACAATGTAGTGAATACAACAACTGGAGAATTGCCATTCACTCGTTGGCATGGCAGAAAGCCAAATTTAAGTTACCTACACACATTTAGAACTCCAGCATGGGTGCATATTCCCTCACAAGTAAGACTGAAAGGGCAACATAGAGCTAAGAAGGTATTTTTTTGTGGGTTATGAGGCCTACCATAGATCATTTAGATTCTGGTATCAAGGCACAGCTCATGCTTATTGTAGTGCTAGTGCAAAATTTCTTGAGCACATTGGGCGGGATAAACTGGAACAGGAATCCAGCTTGATATTATTATTGACACCAAATAGTCCCTAAAGATAAAATAAGTAAACCACAAATAGCCATTAAAGAGGAAGCACAGGAGGAAGTAGTAGAACAGGCATAGGAGGAGGTAGAAGAACAGGATCAGGTGTCACAGGAAAGTCCACCAGTAAGCCCTGTATTACCAAGAGGTTCAACCCGAGTAACATGACCACCTGATAGATATCAGACTAGTGTTGTATGCAAAGTGAATATAGTTCCAAGTAACTATAGTAAATTGAAACTGTATCCTGCTAAGGATCAGGCTGCTTGGCAGAAAGCAATGGATAAGGAACTGGAATCATTAAAAAAGTTGGAGGTATACGAAAATGTCAGGTTACCACCAGGTAAACATGCCATAGGGTGTAAATGGATTTATAAACTGAAGACAGGTGTAGATTGGACTGTTACCCATAAAGCCGGGTTAGTAGCACAACGGTTCAATCAGACAGCAAATGACTACGATATGGTGTTTGCACCTAGTCTGAAAGCTACCACATTAAGGGCAACATTAGTTTGGGCAGCTAAGGAGAAATACATTGTAAATCATTTGGATGTAGAAACGGCATATCTGCATGCACCATTGCAACACACTATATATTTAAAGAAACCTTTAGGTGATAATACTGATGATAAAATGATAATATTGATAATAATGATTGCTGGAGATTGAAATAGAGTCTTTATGGCTTAAAGCAATCAGGATATGAGTAGAACCAATGTATAATGAAATAATTAAATAAGATAGGCTTTGTAGCTGGCATGGCTGATCCATGTTTGTTTAAAAGAGAAAGTAATTTCATTATTGCTATCATTTACTGATGACGTAGCATTAATCACCAAAACTGAACAAGAAGCTACTGAAATAATTTCACTACCTCAATAAGGGAGGAGGAGGAGGAGCAGGTGGAGGGGGACCTAGCTTTGTGCAGGGAGGAGGAGGAGGAGGAGTTTGACTTGGGGTCCCTGCAATATAACGAACCCCTTTCCGATATAGAACCATCAGAGGCAGAGATGTCCGAGGATGAGGGTCTCACCCCCGACCAATCTGCCTTTGTAGGGCTCTTCAAGCCTCAACTTTTCAAATCCCTCCTGTTCAAGGCCAGAAACATTTCCGGCCTAAAAACTCAGAACCCCTCTGACCCCCTTCCTCTTGCCCCGGAAGGTCCAGAGGATTCCATCTTTAAACAGCCGGTTGTGGAGGCCGAGGTCATCCCAACCCCCCCATCTTCCTTGACCTGGTGTCCAAGCAGCTAGCCTCTTCGGCGGCCCCTTCGGCCCATGATAAAAGGTTTTTCAACCTAGACCCAGAACTCTCCAACCTATTGGGCACTCCAGAGGTCGATGAGCCCATTGTGGGTCTGGCCTCTTCCTCCACCCTTAGTGACCCCCTAGAGGCCCTGAGGCTGGAGGAGAAACGGTTGGAGCTGGTCTTACGCCGAGCTCACCAGTCAGACGCTTGGGCAATCAGATCGGCCACGGCCACCTCCTTCTTCATCAGGTCATCCATTCGCTGGCTTCGCCAACTTAAACAACATGTTCCAGCCTCCAATGTCCGAGCCCATCAGGACATAGTCAAGATTACGGCCGCAGCCGAGTTCTCGGCCGACGCTACCTTTCACTCGGTCAAATTTTCCACCCATGCCATATCCTCCCATGTCTCTGCCCACCGTCTGCTCTGGCTAAAGCACTGGCAGGCAGACCTCAAGAATAAAGTAAAATTGGCTTCCGCTCCCCTCGTGGGAAATAAATTGTTCGGACCATCTCTGGATCCCCTTTTGATCGAAGGAAGGAATAAGAAAAAATTCCTTCCATACCTCACCCACAAGTCAGAATCCAGATCCCTGCAGCCCTTTCAGAGAGCTCTATTTCGTCCCTTTTTCCAACCCTCCTTCTCCCCCAGGTACCAAAGGCCCCCTCCCTTTGGCTCAGGACAGCCTCAGGACAGGACCAACTCCTCTGATAGGCACAGAAGGGGTGGTAACTTCAAAAGGCTCTTTCATGGCTCTGGCAACAGGCCCTTCAGGCGCTCCAGATAAGCCACCAGATTCAATTCCCATTGGCGGGCATCTTAAGACCTTCGCCAACCAGTGGGACTCCTCCACTTCTGACGCCTGGGTTAGGGACACCATCAAGTTTGGCCTTGCCCTCGAATTTCAATATACCCCCCCCCCCCGATTTTTTCATGCCATGCCCACTCTCCAAGAACCACACCAAGCACAGCCTCATGGACTCAGCAATTCAACACCTACTTGATATACAGGCCATCCAGCCTGTTCCTCTGTCTCAAAGAGGACAGGGATTCTATTCCCATTTATTTGTGGTCCCCAAACACTTGGGGATGGAGAGCGATTCTGGATTTAAAGCAGTTTAACCGCTATCTCGTATACCGCAAATTCAAAATGAACACGTTGCAATCCATCCTGCTGGGTGTTAGACAGGGAAACTGGTTGTCATCCATTGACCTCTCAGAGGCATACCTACACATTCCAATCCAACCTTCTCATTACAAATATCTGTGTTTTTGTTACAATAACCTCCACTTTCAATACGTGGCTCTCCCATTTGGGTTGGCCTCTGCCCCCAGAACCTTTACCAAGGTCCTGGCCGCTCTAGCTGCCCACCTTAGAACCTTCCCGGTGCGCCTCTACTGTTACCTGGATGATATCCTCATCCTATCTCCTTCCAGGGACCAAGCAGTGAGGGATACCCAAATTACCCTAACCTCTCTCCAGGAACACGGGTTCCTCATCAATTGGAAGAAAAGCCAATTATCCCCCTCTACCAGGATAACCCACCTGGGGACAGTAATCGACACGGTGCAAGGGAAGATTTTCCTCTCTTTGGAGAGAATCCTCAGCATCCAAAAATCTGTCAGAAACATCAGACACCTTAAGAGGGTTTCCCTCCTGGAACTCTCCCAATTACTGGGTAAAATGATATCTTGTCTTTCCATTATCCCCTGGGCCCATTTCTACTCCAGATCCCTCCAGTGGTTCCTGCTCCCGTACCAAAGAACTGGATCAAGC